TCAAGAGTCAGATGCTTAGCCGACTGAGTCACCCCAGCGCCCCCAGTATGACTTAACTTGATTGCATCTACAGACACCCTATTTCCAACTAGGCTCATAGTCACAGGTACAGGGGGTTGGAACTGGGACAACTCAACCTGCCACAGAAGGAGACAGAGCAGGTGTGGGCCTGCTGGCCCAGCGGGGAGCACTAGCCCACTCTGCCTTCTCCCTGCCCCCCCCAGGACTTCCAGCCTCTGCGTTATCTGGATGGCATCCCCAGTTCCTTCCAGTTCTTCCTGCCTCTGGGCTCCGGGGGGGGCCCTGCATCTGCCTGCTTCCTCCTTCCTTACCGCCCCCAAGGACAAGTGCCTCTCACCAGAGCTCCCCCTGCCCAAACAGCTGGTGTGTCGCTGGGCCAAGGTGAGTGGGGGGGCCAGGAAGATGGGGGTCGGGGCTGGGGTAGGCAGCCCCACGCAGACTCAGAACGCTCCCAGGCTGGGGTGGGCGGCCCCACGCAGACTCAGAACACTCCCTGGCCCCGTAGTGTAACCAGCTCTTCGAGCTCCTCCAAGACCTGGTGGATCATGTCAACGACCACCACGTCAAGCCCGAGAAGGACGCGGGGTACTGCTGCCACTGGGAGGGCTGTGCCCGCCACGGACGAGGCTTCAATGCTAGGTGAGGGGGAGCGAGGGGGGTGCTGGGGAGGAGCGGGAGGGGGCTTGGGTGTCCGGCGAGCGGCGTCGAGCTCCCCTGTGGCCTCCCGGGAGCAGGTACAAGATGCTCATCCACATCCGCACACACACCAACGAGAAGCCGCACCGCTGCCCGACCTGCAGCAAGAGCTTCTCCCGCCTGGAGAATCTGAAGATCCACAACCGCTCGCACACAGGTGAGCAGCCGGGAGGGGGCACGGTGCGAGGGGAAGCCTCTCGGGGGGGGTGCGATCCTCGGATCCATCTTCTGTGTGGCCCCGGCACCCTCCTCAGCGTGACCATCCACTGGGTGCCGCCCACTAGGCGGCGCTCACTGCCGACCGCAGGCGCTGGCGACAGAGCCACACACCTAATTTTAAACTTCCTCATCGCCAAAAAATAAGAGGTCCTAATTGCTGCATTGAAGAAAGGACAAAGGAATAGGTGAGATGAATGGTAACGAAATTCCTTCAATCAGATGTATTAAAAAGCCAGCAGTGACACACTGGAGTTAATTCTGTACGAAGTCTGGGAGCGCAGTCTGCCGCGTACCCTTCCCCTCACACAGCACATCTCGCTGCGGGCCAGCCGCAGGTCAAGGGCGCCCCGCCTGGAGCAGCTACCAGACATGGGGTCAATCTGGAGGCATTCTGCTGCGCCAGGACCAAATCCAGCGTACAGGGCATTCTGCAGTGCTCACTGTGGGCCCCCAGGGCCCCCTGCATCTAAGCAGATCTGCAGTCCTGCCTGTCGAAGTGATCACTGTCATCCCCAATTTAGAGCACAGGACTAAGGCCAAAGGCACACACATAGGCCACAGCAGAGCGGGGGGTGATCAGGCCAGCTTCTCCGTGGCCATGCCCTGCTGTCTGCACCTGGGATCAGATCTCGTGCCAGTGCTGGGGACACTGCCCCTTCCATCGGACAGTTGGTGCTCTCGGGGGGGACCGCGGTCTAGGGTGAAGGTCCTGGGGCCGCCCTGTGTGCACAGAGGCCCCTCATGCCTGCCCCGCCCCACAGGTGAGAAGCCCTACGTCTGCCCCTACGAGGGCTGCAACAAGCGCTACTCCAACTCCAGCGACCGCTTCAAGCACACGCGCACCCACTATGTGGACAAGCCCTACTACTGCAAGATGCCCGGCTGCCACAAGCGCTACACGGACCCCAGCTCGCTGCGCAAGCACATCAAGGCCCACGGCCACTTCGTGTCTCCTGAGCAGCAAGAGCTCCTGCAACTGCGCCCGCCCCCCAAGCCACCACTGCCCACCCCTGACGGCAGCCCCTACGTCAGCGGAGCCCAGATCATCATCCCCAACCCTGCTGCCCTCTTCGGAGGCCCCAGCCTGCCCGGCCTGCCCCTGCCCCTGGCCCCCGGCCCCCTTGACCTCAGTGCCCTAGCCTGTGGCAATGGCGGGGGTGGTGGGGGGGCCGGGCGGCATGGGCCCTGGGCTGCCAGGCCCTGTCTTGCCCCTCAATCTGGCTAAGAACCCGCTGCTGCCCTCACCCTTTGGGGCTGGTGGACTGGGCCTGCCTGTGGTCTCCCTCCTCGCTGGCTCCGCTGGCGGCAAGGCTGAGGGGGAGAAGGGGCGTGGGGCAGTGCCAGCCAGGTCTCTGGGCATGGAGGGCCGCAAGACGCCCCTGGAGAGGACTGAGAGCAGCCGCTCCCGGCCAAGCCCTGACGGACTCCCCCTGCTGCCAGGCACTGCGCTGGACCTGTCCACAGGCGTCGGCTCGGCAGCCAGCAGCCCGGAGGCACTCGCCCCTGGTTGGGTGGTCATTCCGCCGGGCTCTGTGCTGCTCAAGCCAGCCGTGGTGAACTGAACCTGCCTGCTGGACGGCTACCCGCAGCCCGGCTAGCAGCTCCCAACCCTGCCCCCCGACGAACGGAAACTTTTCTGCGAAATAGCAATAATGTCCTCCTGCCCCCGGGGCCTGGTTGGCTGGGTCCCCCAGGCAGACCCAGCCCCAGACAAGCTAGGCAGCAAGGATGGTGCTAGAAGGTCATTGGTGGTGTCCCAGGCTCCGGAACAGGGGCTGGTGCTGCCAGCCAGGGTGAGCCGTGCTCCTGGGTGCTAAGGCCTCACTCGCCTCCTGCCCTGCCCTCCACTTAGCCCTCAGTCTCCCAGGCTACCCTCCCCCGCCCCGTGCCTCCCTCATCCATTCACCAGCCTGGGTAGGTCATCCTCCCTCCCTGCCTTGCCTACCTGCCAGCCATGTCCCCATCCTGCCTAGCCTCTCTGGGCCCCTGTTCTTGGGGCTTCTTGACCCCTTTCCCTCTGGCCCACCCTCCAGAGGGAGAGCAAGACAGACGCAGGCAAAGCCACAGGAAGAAGCCACCTTATCCCTATGACAAGGCGCCTCCAAACTCAGAGAGGGAGGCCCGCTCTGCCAGCTGCCCCTCACTACTAGCCCGTCCAAAAATAGCCAGCACTACCTGAGGCTCGGCCCCTTCCCTGGGCTGGATGCTGTCCACAGTGAGGGGACTGCTGACCACTCACCTGCCCCTTCACTGCTGGGCCTTCTCCCTCTACTTTCAGGGAGCCCTGGGAGCGTGGGCAGTGGAGCCCTGAGCGAGGAAGGGAGATGCCAGGACGCCAGGCCCTCGCTTGGCTCAGGGAACAGGTGGGGCAGGGCTTGGCTTAGGGTAGTGCCGCTCTGCACAAGGGACTATGGGGGTTTGCAGGGTGTCAGGAGGTGGGAGGCTGGCCAGGGACAACCCCAGGCTGGGACACAGCTCCTATTCTGGGGGTGTCAAGTCACAGCCAAGCACATAGGGGAGGTAGGGCTCCAGGCCAGTGCTGGGCATGGGAGCTCTCCAGAGGCCATGGACTGAAAGCCCTGGGCTTGGGGGTGGAGAAGCAAACAAGGATGGCCATAGGAGTGCCCAAGCCCTCTGCCTGGGAAGGGGAAGCTAGAGGAAGGAGCCTGGATTTAAGACATGGTTGTGTCTGTTGGCTATTTCCCAGAGCCTCTGTCTTAGAGGTGTCCCCACCCCTGCCCACCACCTCCCCCATGGCATGGACCAGAATAAGCTAAGGATGCTGGTGCTCCATGTGCCCCACAGCCCACTGCCCGATCCCACCAGGCCTCGGGGCCCCGGCAGATGCTTCCCCTCACCCTGAGCCCTCGCTGCTCCCTCTCTGGAGGTGGCCTGGTGCCGCCTGGGAGGCGCTGGCCCAGCAGCCAGGACTCCTGGCCCCTCAGCCACATGACCAAGCACTCCGTTTCCCCTGCTGTAGAACTGGAGGCTGTGGGCCAGCAGGGGGTGCTCAGCAGCCCTGCGGACTCTACCCTCTCCCAACTGCCCTTCTGTCCTAGAGGGGGTGCCCTAACAGGGCCTGGCAGTGCTGGCTCTGCCCCTTGAAGGGGCTGTGAGCAGAACAGGAGGGAGCTGGTCTCCTTTCCTCAGGCCCCACACAGGACCCTGGCCTTAAGTCCCCAGCTGGGGGCCAGGGCTCTGAGACTCAAGCCCAGGGAGCAGAGGAACAGGGCACTGGAAGGTGACGTTAGCTCAGCATGTGACTTGGTGATAGACCAGGCTCGAAAGGGCTGGTGTACGTGTTGTTGTTGTGGGTTTGTTGTTGCACATTCCAGGATATCAGTATTTTAACAGGTTCTAAGTGCCTTTCTATCGTAGCTTATGTTTTTCCTCCTCTTGGCTCCATTGCTGTTAGCATAGAGTTTAAAAAAAAAAAAGAGATAAGCTAATGACTATAACAATATATTCCTCCATGTGAGAGGAAGTTTATAAAGAAACAATAAAAGTGAGTTGCAAAGATGGTTTCTGTCTTGGCTATGCCACGAGTGGAGCCTCCCTGCTTGAGAACTCTGACCAACCGTCTTATGCCTGGCCTGGGTCTCCTACCCCTAGCAGGGAGCACCCAGAGACCCCATTCCAGGGCTTCCTTCCAACCCTGCGGCTGCCACTACTGCCAGGTCTACTGCTGGGAGCTGGGAGGGGGCAAGTGCTGAGGGAGCAGAGAGAAGATTCTGGATAAGTATCATGGGTTCAGGTCCTCACCCTGCCACTACCTGCTGTGACTTTGGTGAGCGAAGCCTTCGTTCTGAGGGAGACACAACTCCCTGGCCTCGGTCCAATGAGAGTCTGGTGAAGGCTTCTCTTTCCTGGCGGCACTGGAACATTCCACCCAGATTCCAGAGATGCTAGCGTGAAACCCTGCTCAGGGAGAAGCGGCCTGTGGCAGAGCCGGGGGTGCACGGCTCTGTACCTCCTGGGAAGGGTGAGGGAGACCTAAGGACACTGATGCTGCAGGAGGGGCCTGGCACCAGGAGGGCAGGACTGGCTGGAATCTGGATGTGTGCATTGAGAAATGCAGAAAGGACATTTATTACCAAACTATAAATTAAAGGAGGTGGGTAGGGTGCAGTGGGGCGAGCTGAGCGGTCACGTTTTGGGCATCTGCTCCTTCTCTCTGTTCTCCTGGGCCTGGATCCTGAGCTCCTCCTGCAGGCGCTCCCAGGCTCGGACCACCTGGGGAAGGAATTAGAACCAGGCAGGACAGTGAGTGGGATGGACCTCTGCCCTTCCCAGGCCCCGCACAGCAGCGGGCATGTCTAAGCTAACAGCTTGGGAAACACAAGTGCTTCCTTTATCAGTGCCCAGCACTCCCAGGGGGGACAGGGCCCAGGCACACCCTGCTGTCTATCAGCTAGTGGTCCTGTTCCCTCAAAGCCATGGCTGCTGGGAGGGCCACTGTCCGGGTGACACAGGGCCCAGGCAATTCAGCCCAAGCGGCTAGGCCCCATGGAGCTGAGGCAGCTGGAGGGAATGGCAGTTTAGGGGATACTCCCTGAGGCTAGGGCACCAAGGAAGGGCCCGGCACAACTTCCTGCCTGCCAAGTTCTGAACTGCCTAGAAATGAGGGGCCCCAGTGAGAAGAGGCCCCCTTGCGTGCCCTCCTCCCAGCATCGAAGAGCACCCACCTTGGACTGCAGGTAGAAGGAGCCACCCACGGACTTATCATTCACCTTGAATAGGTGTTCGTAGTTCTGCAGAGGAGGGGAGACGGTGAGAGGGTGTGCGGTGTCTGGGTTACAGAGGCAGGGGAAGCTGGGAAATGACAAAGAAGGAAAGCCAGAGGGTTCAACCCTGACGCCCCAAGTGTCCCCCTATGCAACCCCGGAAGCCACTGTCACTGCTAGGGGACAGAGAAGTGGACAGGTGCCCACAGGGGGAAGGAGTTCTGTGCCACTGCCTGCTTTGGGCCTAAAAATGGAGTGACAAGCAGCTCCCACTACTTGGGGTCCAAGCTGGCTGCAGCCACAGCCTCCACACCCGCCTCTTTCTGCCGGGCCACCTTCACTCCTCCTGATCCTGGTGGCCCGGCCCCTCAGCCCGCCATTCTGGTCTGCCCAGGCAAGACCCACCTCCGAGCCAGCCTGGCAGTCTCACCTTCTGGATCTCCTCAGGGCTCAGCTTGGAGACATTGAGAATCTGCTGGGCCTCCTGGAGGCTGAGGCCGGACAGGTTAGAAGCAGCTGCAGACTGGTGTCCAGCACGTCCTCGCGCATCAGCTGCCGCCCGGCTGGCTGTGTGGACACACTGGTGAGTGCTCAGCCCTCAGAGGCCCAAGGGTTCCCTTGAGCCTTCCACGTAGGCAGCACAGCCTGCCAGTTGGCATGGGAGAAGACACGCGCAGGAACGGGGTACACCCCTCTCCAGGAGTGGATATTTTGGGAGGGTGGGTTGGGAATTTTTGAAGTGAAGACTGAGCCCACTGGAGGACAGGGACAGGTTCTGGTCCCCAACCCTGGTACCTGGTGCCAACCAAGACCATGAGATGGCCCTGTCCCTCCCCTCTCCCCTGACCCCTCATCCCAAGTGACAGCAAGTTGGGGAGCTTTAGGCTACAATGGGAAGCAGGACGAAGCTGTAAGGAGGAAGAGGTAATAACAGCTCAGGTGAGACCTGGCCGCCCACCAGTTACCTAGACGGCAAAGCAAGTGGCTCAGGTGACCTTTTCCATTTCAGTGACCCTAGAATCAGAAGCCACCAAACTTTTTCTTAAAGGGTCAAAGAATAAACGTTTTAGGCTTGGCAGAGCAATTAGAGTCTGTGTTGCAATTACGTGACTTTGTCTTGTAAGCAACCAGAGGGTAGGGCTGTGTTCCAGTAAAACTGTTTACAAAAACAGGTGGCCAGGTGAGCCAGCTTGCCACCTCCTGCCTCCACGTTCACGTCAACCAAGTTTCCCTTTCTTTTTTTTTTTTAAAGATTTTATTTATTTTTATTTATTTGACAGACGGAGATCACAAGTAGGCAGAGAGGCAGGCAGAGAGAGAGGAGGAAGCAGGCTCCCTGCTGAGCAGAGAGCCCGATGCAGGGCTCGATCCCAGGACCCTGAGATCACGACCTGAGCCGAAGGCAGAGGCTTTAACCCACTGAGCCACCCAGCCGCCCCCCAAGTTTCCCTTTCATGAGAATGTCCCAAAATCCAATGATGTCCCCCATCCCCGGGAAATGCCCCAGGCTGCTGAGGGCCCTGCATTCACTGTGGGCCCGTGGTGAGCGGCCACAGACGGGAAAATGTGACCTGGGCAGGAGCGGCCAGCACCCCCCCAGCCTTACCTGCAAACTCCTGCCGCAGCGCTCGTGCGAAGGCCCTGCCCACCACCTGCGCCCCCATCACAATGATCTGGGCCAGGTACCTGGCCTGTGGACAAAGCAGGGACCTGGTTAGCAGGCTGCATTCTAGAGATGGGACCCTGGAAAAGGCTTCCGAGTGACAAGGTCTCGGAGGTGATGAAGCACAGAGCAGCAGTCACAGGTGACTTGTTCCAAATACCCTGAGAAAGAGCCTCTGCTCTGGGTGGTTCAGGGGCTCACCGGACAGACGGCTGGGGGTGAACCCGAGGGAGTCCCCAGGGACAGACAGGAAGCCCCCCCGCCCCCCACCAACGGCCTTCACACAGGAGGGGAGGAGCTGAGGTGATGGGGCTGCAGGGCCCAGAGGCTGTGCCCAGACCATTAACTCGCCCTGCACGTCCCTTCTGAGCTCCCGAGACTGGCAGCTCCCACCTCTGTTCAACCAGCCGGGAGCCACCTCGGTTCCCAAGACTAGTGACCACCCTTCCAATCAACACAACAAAAGTGAACAAGACTCTCCACCTTCAAGCAGCAAAAAGCCCACGGGGGGGGGGGGCAGGGTATGAGGCAAAGATACGGAGGGCCAGCCGCTGAGGGAGAACAGGACTGGCCACCAGCTCCTCCACTGGTTCAAGCCCGTGCAGACTCCGCTAAGCTCTGCTCAGCACCCGGCCTACAAGGATCCGCGGAAGCCAGCCGTGCCCTCGGAGCTCCTGCACACTGACCCCCCCATGGGGAAGCGTCTACACTGGCGCAGCACGGTTTTCTAACCCAGTACAGAAGAGTCTCATGAACCACGCCCAGGAGGACAGAAAGGCCATGGAAGAAAGCCTCAAGATGAGATGGAAACTCAGGGAAAAGATATCTCTCCTGGGCTGGATTTTGAGGGCAGATGGAATCACAAAGGGAGTATCGGGGCTTTCTAGGCAGTGGGACCAGGGCGAGCCCAACAGGAGAAAGTGTAAAGGTTGTCCTGGGAGCAACCCAGAGCACAGGGGACGTGTAAGGTCGTTAGAGGTTAAGGCTAAAAAGATGGCTGAGACAGGAAACTGTACAGACTGACTGAGAACAGAGATTACGTACAAACAGCACATGTGGAAATGGCCCTGGGCCCTGTGTGTGCGATGGCACAAAGCAGGGTGCGCGGAGGACCCAGAGAGCACTCACTGCAGGTCGACACTGTTCACGGGCACCCTCCTGTGGCTTCCCTTTCTCTTTTTTGCACTCCTCTGTCGTCAGATGTTGTCACTCAACAGGTATCAACCGAGCCTGGGTGCCAGTCACCGTATTCTATTTACTATGCTATTCAACGGCAAAATTCAAGACACCAAGGCACAGAGAGGTTTTATGATCAGCCTGAGGACATGGCTAGTCCTCAAGGGGAAGGTGGGTAGGAAACCCCAAACTGGCGCTGTTTGCCGTGGCATCTCCAGGCTGCCCACCCCACACAGGATCCTGCAGGGAGAGCACGTGAGCAACCTGACCAGGACCAAGAACCCAGCCCAAAGGCCAAAGAGGGGCTCGTCAGATTCCAGTGGAATCCAGACTCCCGAACTGGCCTGGTTTGGCTTCCAATGAACCTGCCCTTATGGGCGGAGTGGGATGTTGGTTCTGGGACGCTAGCAGTAATTAATAAATGGAAGTGGGGTTGGATTTCACAACTAAGTAGAAATTTCCTAAGCCCTGTATTTCACACCAGAAAGCAAAGCTCAGTGAGGACTCTTTAGTGATCAAAGGGAGGGGGCAGGGCCTCAGCCAGCTGTGCTGTGGGTGGCAAGACAAACACGGGGCACATTGCAGGTTGGGAAGTTGCCTAACATCTCCTTCCATGCCCAAAGCCCCTCCTGAGTGGGAGAGGAGGTTCCTGGATGGACTGCTGGTCCTGTCTGGGGCATGGAGAGAGTGACAGGCCCGTAGGTGGCTTCAGAGGGCTCCCTCGGCCTGCACACCCTTTAGGCCTCAGACCATCCGTTCATCTGCTGCCACACGCCCAAGGGCAGCCCCACAGCTGTGGCTGGTACTGCCCACTGACCTCTGCCCGGAGCAGTGGCTGCTGCTCAGTAATGAACGTTGAGAAGGTACTACTGAGAAGGTAGAGGAGCAGCTCCCCAGCCACAACGGCAGACTTCAGACCACTGCGGCCCAGTCACTCCCACTGCTGGAGCGCCACGGCTGCACAGTGGCTCGGGGGGGGCCTGCAGTTTCAGAGGCCATCCCGGCTGGCTAAGCGGGCTGCCTGGCTGGCCCGCTGAGGCCTCTCTAGGGGAGGAAGTATGGTGTGTGGTCATATAGGTGACCTCTGGAATCACCTGTGTGCAAATTCCAGCTGTGTGCCCGACACAAACTCTCAGGTTCCCTCAGCCTGTTTCCTCCCCTGTGAAATGTGCCCAACAATAAGGCTGTCAGGGATTCAATTAGATAATGCTTGTAAAGTGTCTGGCACAGAACCTGATGATATAGTAGGTGCTCAATAAACGTTGCTTTTCATCTATTACACTTCTTTGTTTCACAAAACTTAACAAAGGTCAGACACTATGGAGTAACAGCTTTTCCCAATGAGGCAACTCATTTGACATATCCGCTGATTCCTCAGGGGAGAAGGCTGCAAAAAACCAAGCTATGTGCCAAGGGCAGTGAGAAGCAGTGTGGAAGAGGAGGGAGAAGGCTGCTTTGGAGCTATAACCTGGACTCCTGGCTTGTTTTCTAGTTAGCTGTGTGGCCCTGGGCAAATTACCCAACCACTCAGAACCTCAGTTTTCTCATCTGCAAATTGGGGAAAATAATACCTTCCTCACAGGAGGGCTGCAAGTTCCTCAGGAGGCAATCCACGTAAAACCAACCAGGCAGTCATTGGCAGGTTCAAAGCAGCCCAACCTTAACCTTCACTTCTGAACGAGACCCTGCTGGTCTAGAGATCATCCGCTCATTCAGTGCCCGGCGCCAGCTGCGGATCAGCCATGCTCAGAGTTCTCTAGTGACAAGGAGTGAGGAAGACTGCCACTAGCTGAGGCCTCTCCTAGATAGTCCCAAAACATCCCATAGTCCACTGACACTTGGGCCTGAAGACCCTGGACAAGAACAACCAGCTGACACGGCATCCAACTCAGGACCAGAGCAGAAGAGCACAGGCAAGCACTGGGGGACATTTGGGAATGTGGCTTCTCATGTTAAGTGCATCAAGAAAGGAGCCTGGCTTTCAGAAAGACCCATGTGCAATGTTCCCTTCAAAGCCCAGTTCTAGGCTCTTGGGCCGGTGGGCAGAGACTGCCACCGAGCCTAACCTCCTTCTCAAGGATGCACTGAGGTAGGAAGGGGGCTTTGTTCACCCAGAGCCCCTGCAAACAGCCTCTGGCATCACAACTAGGCAGGAGAACAGTCAGGACCATGGTATGCCTGGGGCCCCCACCTATGGCTGGCACGGCAGCCCGACTGGCATTTGTATGAATATGACAACCAGCTCACCATGGGCAAAAACTCTATGCCCCCAGACAGGGTTTCCAAATTCCTGTTCCTACCGCTCCCTCTGCTGGAGGGCTTCCGCCACACAACTCTCCACAGCCACTGCCTACGAATTCAGTCCACTTCTTAGGCGGGCATCCTCAGCTCTAACTACAAACAACTTCTCTGGTTTTCTCTCCCCTCACCTCTCTCTGCCCTGCAGCCATACCACCTACTTTTAAATCAGCTCTTACTACTTTTACCCCGATGTCTCCCAATTCACACACAAGTCACTCTTCTCAAATATTCGGTGATGTTAGTGTATTCACAAACTCTGTAAATACACTAAAAAGTACAGTATCACTAGTTCCTGAACATTTTTATCACCCCCCCAACACCATACCCATTAACCTTGAATGCCCTCCCTACTACTCTCATACTGTCAAAACCCAACTTCCTCCAAGATGGTACCGCTCCCCACCCCAGTGAAACCATCTCAGAACACTATCTTATCCTATTACCACGCTGTCATATTTTACAGACTTGCCCAGTTCTCCCTTTAGGATACAAACTCCTCGAGAGCAACATTTTATCTGGCCCTTGAGGGTGGCTCAGAGTGACACGCAGGAATGCATGACAGGGACCCGGTTGAAGGCTTCATTGTAGGTCAAAAACATGTCAGCACTCGAATGACACCACTGGATGAAATGACCCTGGAGGAATCAAACTCCCTGGCATTCAGAGTCCTTCTCAGTGAAAAGGGAACAAGGACCATCAGAATTTCATAAGCATTAATGAGAGAACCCACATAAGGCCTCAGCTCAGGGCATGGCACCTGCAAGCTCTTAGAGTATCCTTACTACTGGTTAGGAAGTGGCTCCCCAAACCGACTGCTTCAATCACCTGGGGGGACTTCTAGAACCTCCGTGGACAGAACTAAGGACACTGCATTTTTAAAGGGTCCCCAGGTGACCTGTCGCAGCCAGTCCGGCCCAGGTCTCTGGACCGGTTCCGGGTGCCAATGGTACCGCAGAAACGCTCAGCTTTCGGTGTCGCGGGGCCTGGTCAAGCCCCGGGTGTGCTCCTTTCTTGGCAAAGTCTCAGAGCCCGTTTCGTCAGCTTTCAAAGAGGGACAGTAACAGGGCGATACCACCAACTGGCTGCGAGCCTGCGCAGGGACTCCCGGGCCAGGTCCCCGCGCGGGGGCTGTGCGCACATGGCGACCGCCTCTGCTGGGCATTTTCAGGCCGGCCAGGTCCGCCCTGCCTTCTGTGGCCCGCCGCAGTCCTCCCGGTGCGACGCCCCCGGACCCAATTCCCCCCGGGCACGTAGGCGGCGCGCCGCGCCCGCAGCCCGGCCGGAGCTCGCCGCCCCGGCCCCAGCCCCGAAACAGCCTCCCTGACCGCCCAGCAGGGTCCTACCCGAGGCTCACCATGGTGGCCGCTCCGCCTCGGAGTCGCAGGCTCCGGCTTCCTAGCCCCACCGCTCCAACTCAAGGGCGGCCGGCGGGTCAGAGGTCAAGGGAGAGAGCGCATGCGTGACGCCGTACTAGGCATGCGCACTGTTCCTCCCCAGGGGGCGGGGCGTGTGTACGATGTAACCAGTGGGCGGAGTCCGAGGCGGAGTCGGCCTCGGACTCCGGCTTAGAAGACGACCGGGGGCGGGCGATGGGCGGTCCCAGGACCCCAGGTGGCCGTCCTGTTTATCCGGCGGTGCTAGATGCGACAGAATGAATACATCTGTCAAATGCGGGCAAATGCGGGGCAATTTCTTCCCTTGTTTTGGCAAAATATTTCGTCCTAAAGGATATGCAATAAACATAAAACACCCCACGAACATGAGTAGGGTGCCGAAGTCTCACAAACATGTAAGAAAACCGAAAACTTCAAAAACGGTTTTCCTTCTAGGTTCCTTCTGTCTGGAAAGGACATCTCTTTCAAGTTCTTGCTCAAATGTCACCTCCTCAATGAGGCCCACCCCGCCCCCCACCAAGGCTACAACTCGCCCTGCACTGTGTTTTAGTAACGGCTTTGAGATAAAGTTCACTATTTCAGAGCGCACAATTCAGTTCTTCTTAGTGTACTCACAGAGTTGTGCAACCATCACCATTAGAACACCAGAACATTTTCATTAAACTCCCCCCCCAAAAAACTGCCCGCCCTTGCCTCCCCCAGCTCCAGGCGACCGCTAAGCTTTGTCCTGTCCTTTGGATTTGTTATTATTATTATTTTTTTAAGATTTTACTTGACAGAGAGCCAGAGATCATAAGGGGGTGTGAGGGGGAATGGCAGAGGGAGAAGGGGAAGCGGGCTCCCTGCTGGGCAGGGAGCCTGATGCAGGACTCCACCCCAGGACCCCAGGACCCCAGGATCATGACCCGAGTAGAAGGCCGATGCTTACCTGACTGAGCCACCCAGGTGCTCCTGGACAGGTCTGTTCTGAACAGCTCATGGAAGCGGAATTATACTGTATGTGACTTTTTGTGTCTGGCTCTCAGTCCCCTCTATTTTTTCCCCCCAAACTTCTTACTTATCACCTTCTTCCATATTATTACAATTCATTTATGTTCACTGTTTATAACCTGTTCCTTCCCACTAGAATGTAGATTCCTTTTCTCTTTTCTCCACTCCTGGACAGGTGGCTGGCAAAGGGAAGGTACTCAACACCTAACCCTAATGAAGGTTAAGTCAGGCTGCCTTGGACAATGTGTTGGACCACTGCCCTTTCCTCCAAATCTCCAAATTCTTTCCTCAGTGCAGTGACCGCCTTTTCTTTTGTCTGAAATGTTCTTCTTGTAGCTCTGTGGCCTTCGGGTTTCAATTCTCGGCTTAAAGGTTGCCTCTCAGACTCTGAGTACCCTGCTCTCCCTACATCTTGGCTGCTCCCTTTCCACATCTGTTCCCCCCTCCTTTTTTTTTTTCTTAATTAAGTAATCTCTATGCCTAACATGGCGCATGTTTAACTCACTACTCTGAGATCAAGAGTTGCATGCTCTACCAACTGAACCGGCCAGGTGGCTCTGTTTTGTCTTCTTTACGGCTTTCTTCACGATCTGCTTACTTGCACACAGTCTGGCTTCCCAGCACAGGAACACTAGAACAAGTACCTCGAGAGGCCTCGTCTCTCTTGTTCATTACTGTGTCTACCATCCACAGCACTGCCTACGTGCTGGATGAATGAACGAACTCGTAGCAGCAGAAAAGAACTCAGGAGCAAAGTGAAGCCTGGGACGAGGGGGAACCCAGAGCCAAATTCCCTCACCCATCCTTCTGCTCCCTTCCCCTTCCATCAGCCAAAAGACCACAGCAGCTCAAGAGGTCACCAGCTTCAAAAAGTTTAATTGCTGAAAACATCCAGGGTACACTCAGGCCAGTCCCTGAGGGGTTTACAGCCCCCTGAATTGGGCCCTCAGCTCTGTAATGCCCCTTTCTCCTGGTTTCAGACCTGAGGAGGAGGGCAACTGGTCCCTGGCCCCTGAGACTGGGGCTGCTCCAAATGGCCTGGCAGGGGGCCAGCCCCCAAGACTCCTGATGAGAAGTGGGGCAGCAGGCGAGAGAGGACAGCGTGTAACAACTGAAGGTGCTGGGTGAAGCCAGCCCAGGCTGGGACCAGCCCAGGGGCGTGCTACTGACCCCCACTACCACCCCCACGCCCACACCCCTGGCTCCCCATGCTAGCAGGCAGCTGAGGAGAAGCAGCCAGTCCCACAGAAAGCAGAGGTGCAGACAATCTACGGGGGCTGCAGTGGGGCCCAGAGGCCGGAGAAGTCCCCAAGACTCAAAGGAAGCCAGGGCTTTGGGATAAAGTGTGCCAGGGCCAAAAGGCCTCTCCCAGTTGGAGGGTGAGATTTGAGGCGTGCAGGGGGCACCACGCCAGGTGGTTCTAGGAGGTGGCAGCGACCGGTGAGGCTAGAGGTAGTGGTGGGCAGGCTAGTCCTGGGGAGATAAACCAAGGGGGTGCGGGGTGAGAGGTCTGGGGAAGGGTGGGGGGTGTCGGCTGCAAGGCGACGGAGGGAGGGAGGTGATGCCAAGGCTCTCTTCTCTACTCACCCACTCGTCCTCGTCCACACCTTCAAAGGAGTCCTGGGGGAGCGGATCCTCCCGGTTCCCTAGCTTGGCCACCATGGCATTCAGCAGCTAGGAGACCGGACAGGAGAAGAGTTGGGAAGGCAACAGGACAGGACTTCCAAGCCCAAAACACAGGACTTCACAGTGTGAACCCCGTCAAGATTGTGAAAAGAGCCATTTTCATCAGAGTCATTTCCTCTGACAAAGTGGATGTTTTCACAGAAAAAGAAACCTCATCCGGGATCAGGGAGCCAGAGGCAGATGGACACACAGCACTGGAGTCCCAGGGCAGCTGTCTCCACACACTGCCTCAGGCGCTCAAATGTGTGCCAGGGTCCCAAACACACCTGGGTCTCAAAGCCTTGGCTCTGTTTGGGTTGGGCCAGGCCGGATAGGGACCTCTTTCTGCCCTTCCCTGGCTTCCTGAGTCCCCTGCCCCATGGGTCAGGTGCAGAGCTCTGGAAGTTCTCCCCATCAAGCTGCCCAACTGAGTGAGGACTGGTCCCAGCCTGGGCTGGCTTCGCCCAGCACCTTCAGTTGTTACAGGCTGTCCTCTCTCACCTCCTGCCCCAGCTTGGGCTGGACTAGAGAACAAGAAGCCAGTCACCAGGTGTAGCCAGGACCCTGTGCGTGCCACACTGGCCAACTGTGTCCTGTGCCTACCTCTTCCTTCTTTTGCTGGTCCGACTTCTCTTCCAGGTAGAGCGCTGAGGGTGGGACCCGTCGGGCAGGAGCTTCACGGGGGGCCTGGCTCACTGGGGTGGGGGAGGGACAGGCATCGGACATCAGAGAATCCCCCCGGTGAGGACTGCTTGCCCAGCCCTTGAATCTTGGGGCAGAGACCCCAGAGGGGGCAACAACAGCTACTCCACTCTCTGTTCACAAGGCCCCTTGGGGTCACCTGGCAGTGTGCGTGTGTGCCTGTGTGCACGTGCGTGTGTTCCTGTCAGGGTTGGAAATGTGGTGGAAACACAGACCCTGTGCTCTGTCCTCAAAGGGCTCAGAGTCTGAGCCTGGAAATGCAAGCACCCCATCCTTGGGAATGTCAGGGGTTCCTGTGTCCCATCAGGGACAGGAGGACCTTGGACTTGGCCATTTGCCCCTTTCCCCAATCCCTACCCACTCCCCTGCTTCCCGCTCACCACCCCCCAGCTCCTCATCCTACCTGGGGTCATGCCAGGGGGCTGCAGACTGAGAAGCCGGAGCTGCCCATTGGCACCGCCCAGCCAGGCGCTGGCACTGAGCACCGGCTCCCAGCTCACGGCTGTGTCTGGGAAGACATCATCCTGGAAGAACTCTTTCTGTAGGGAAGGAGGAAGCGGCTACCCGCAAGCACCAACCAGAGGCCCAGGGCACACCAGCATCCCTTGGGAAGGTGTTAAGGTAAGACCCAGGACCCCCGGCTGGGCTTTCTGCCAGTTTCAGAATCTCAGCAGAGTAAGCGGTACAGGTGCCCCAAAGAGTAGTGAACTGGGACTGTTTGGTGACAGGGCCAGTCAGGCTCCAAAGCTCCTGACAGGGGTTGGGAAGGGGGACTAGGTGTTGGGTGCCAGGCCCCTAACCGCACCCTGACTCGGGGTAGCCGGAAAGCGACAGGCTCCAGGGAGGTCTGGCGAAGCCGCAGGCATCGGGCAAACTCTACTTCCCGCACGTCACACTCCGTCTTGGGCAGGAGGATGAAGCCCTGGGAGAACAGGGGAGTCTGAGCTGCCACCGGGGCCCTCCTGGAGCACCGGCACTGCAGCCTGTCCCCGCACCACAGCGTGCTGGCGGCGCTCAACTGCGAGCTCTCTGGGGGAAAGACACCCCGACGGGTAGCCCTGATGGCAACTTCACGCTACCGACAGAACCTGTTCAGTGCAGAGCTGGGGGGACGTGTGTGGTAGCCCCGGAGGGTGTCTCCACTGACAGCTCCCACAGATATACTAAGTAAGCCTGGCAGCACAAAATCAGCTGTAAGATCAGCTAAAATGAGTAAGAAATGATACACTGGATGTTTACTGCCGTGGTTTTTAATGTAATTTATTTGTAGGTTCATATAACTTAAGATTTTATGGATTAATTTTTAATAGCGGTAGAGTTTAACACCCAGCTCCAGAGAGCTGCCAGCCCGCCCTGGCCCAGTGACCTGCTGACCTCACAGGCCCCTGCACTTCCCCATCTGGCCAGTAGAGGGCGAGGGAGCCCAGTGTCCTCCAGAGAAAGGAGGACTAGGGAGTGCCCCTCACCTTGTGGGGGTCCGATGAGGTGAAGCTATTGCACTCCAGGAAGAAAGGAGCCTCCGGCAGCAGCTCATACAGGAACACGCGGGTGTCGCCCTAGGTCGCGGGGTGGTGAGAGGGAGGCGGCCAGCTCAAGCTGCCTTCCTCCCCACCGCTCACCTGTCCACCGCCCCCACCTGCATACCCCAGCCCACCTTGCCGGTGAGTAGCACCAGGCTGGTATCTGGGTCATAGCTGGGAAGCAGAGTAGAGGGAGCCACGTCCAACCCCAGGACGGCCAAAGGACCACCGGCCAGGGCCTCGGTGGGGTACAGAAGCAGCTGGCGCTCACTTCGGCTGCAACGGAGATCCGGGGAACAGAAGCAGGTCCTTAGAACTGCAGAGGCCTAGATCAGGGCAAGGACTCTGACAAGCACCCTGGTCAGGCTGGGGACCCAGAGGGCTTTGGAGCCTGAAGGGGCTCTGTCCATTCTCTTTCCTGATCCAGTTCTCAGAACTACCAGCCCAGAGTCATGCCACAGCCTCATCCTTGACCGCTACTCACTCTGTTGCCCCTGACCCTTCTCGGCACAGTCCTTACACTGCACTGTTTCCTGGCCACCATGACCTGTAGTCTGGACTTATCTCCCCACACTCAGCTTCTCATCCTCTGCTCCGGCCTGACTGGTCAGCTTCCTGGCTTTTCCATCCAGACTTGAATGCCCTCTCCCCTGGGTTTCTGGGTACTAGCTCTTTTGTGGCTCAGTTCAGATGACATCTCCCTTAGGAGGCCCTCCCTGGTTCCTCCTCCCAAGTGCCAAATACCCATCCCTCGGACCTCTCTAGTAGGCTTGGTTTCTTCATGCTCTTTACCTGGTCCCCACCAGGCATGGGCTCCAGGCAGCAGCACGGGGTTCTTAACTTCTGGGTTCCCAGTTGACTCATTCTTCCTCCCCACCTCCCTCTTTCCCATGCATCCACCAATCTACCCACCAACCCACTGATACATCCAGCCATCTTTCCATCCATCCAATCAGTGAATAGCAGGGACAGTTTTTGATGCCTAATACACGTATGGGCATCTGGGGAAGGAGGACACAATTAGCTAGGGATGGTGGTCCCCGAGTCCTTACCTGTCAAAACCAGACACCAGCAGACAGTGACCATCACACGCCCAGACCACGCGGGCTCCACGGGCTCCCTCGGGCCCTGGGCCTTCCTGGTGGGATATAGCACGTGAAGACCAACAGCCATCCCTTGGGCAGGTCTGGAGGCTGCCCCCAGTGTACCCTGCTCACCTGCAGGGGCTCAGGACCACCCCGGGGCTCATAGACCCGCAAGTACCCGTCCTTGCAGACAGTGGCCAGATGTCGTCCGTCGGGACTCCAAGCCAGGCTAAAGATCTGGAGGCAGGTGCAGACAGATGTGAGAGGCAGCTCTGCACATGTGGCTGGGTCCCTGCCCACGCATGTCCTACCTGGTCCCGGTGGCCCTGCAGCTTCAGCCGCTCGGCTCCCGCCTGAAGGTCCCAGATCCGAATGGTAAGGTCATAGGAAGAGGAGGCCAGCACGTCAGCGGCCAGGGGGTGGAAGCGCAGAGAGTAGATCTTCTCTGTGTGGCCTTGGGGAGAGGCATGGGGGAATGCTGAGCCCCTCAGGAGTCGCCGCCCGTCTCCCAGCCCACACCCTGGGCCCAGCTGACCTGTGAGCACAGCCTCAGGTGTCGTGAGCACCTCCTGCAGGCCCTCTGGGGGCACCCGCCACAGTCGGATCCTGGCGTCCTCCCCACCTGCCGAATGCAGGCTCATCACTGCTGTGCCCAACACCTCTGGGTTGTGTGCCCTCGTTCAGAACCCCGAACCCTCCCTCAAACCTAGCACCCAGCCTCCTTACCCACAGCGAGGCGGTAGGGGTCAAAGGGGTCCCAAGCCAGATCTGTCACAGCTGCCCCATTCTGCAGCGTGGGCAGTGCTGTGTCGGGCAGGCGGCCAGGCTTCTGCAGCTGTGGGAGGCAGCGCCCAGGCACGTAAACAGGCGGGGAGCTCAGTCCCCAGGGCTGCACGGCAAGCTGCGTGCCTGCGCCCCCACCCTCTGCAGCCAATGCCCCACTGCTGGGTGCCCCAAGCTCTCTGCCTCAGCCATCTTCAGCTGAGCCCCAGTACCATGAGGTCCCAGAAAGTGAGGGGGGCAGTGTGGATCGGAGGTAAGAGCTCGGGCTTGGGGGCCAGGCAGCCTGGGTTCGAATCCCAGCTTACACGGCCGTGTGACCCGACAGGGCACCAAACCTCTCTGTGCCTCACTGCTCTCTCCCATCTGTAAAATGGGGAGAAGAGTGGTATCCCTGCAGGACAGGGATTTAAGGGGATGCAGTGTGAGTGCCCGGCACTGAGATTGGAGCTGGTGTGGGTACCCCATGCCCTTAGCTTCCTGCAGGGCCCTGGAGCACACGGTGGTGGGCGGGGTCCCTCACCTCCAGCACAGCCACTTGCCCGCCACTGCTGAGCAAGGGCACGGCCACGCGTAGACGGTTGGCACAGAATCCGTCACTCTCGCCGGGCGTGGTGAGGTTGAGCCCCTTGAGGTTGGTGATGTGGCTGTCTCGGTGCAGGACGGTGCCCTGAGCATGGCGGAACTTGGAACTGGGGCCTGGCAGGCGGCAGGGACAGAGTCACATGAGGACGCCCTGCCTGTCTGCTTGCCCTGAGTCCTGGCTGCCTGCTCCCCTCGCTGCGGGGCGCACGCCCCATGCCCCAGCCTCTGCCAACACAACCTGCCCAGAACTACGCCTGGAAACGGGACTTGCGAGCCCAGGACTCCAGGGAACATCCAGGCTGCCCTCTTCCTTGAGACTCACCTCATCCCACAGGGACAGGTGACCCCACCAGGAGGGGAGGTGAACATACACAGGTTTAGTTCCTGCCCAGACACACGTACCCAGCAGGCTCTGCAGGGACCTCTGGCTGGGGCTGGTGCCGATGCCACTGGAGCTAGAGAGCGAGGGCCCCAGGCTGGAGGGCGTGCAGGGTGAGGTCAGCGAGCTAAGAGGGGAGGAGAAGCCCTCCTGGGGGAGAAGCACCCTGGGTCAGCCAGCAGGCCCCAGTGTGTTGGCCAAAGCAGGATGGCGCTGGGGTCATCAGTCTGGGCCCCTCCTCCCGGCCGGTGGGACACTGTGTGGGCAGGAAGCCCCACTGTGGGGTGTTGGGTGGAGACACAAACACCCACACTGACCAGGGCTGGAGGTGACACAGGGCGAGCTAAGCTTCAGACTGTGCGGACAGAGGGTGGTAGCTGCCAGCTCCTAGCTTTGTAGGAGAACAGGCCAGTTGGGTTAAGATCTGCCAGGATTCCAAGAGAAGCCAGAAATCTGGATTTTCTGTGAAAGTCTTGCTTTTCATGTGTTTGCTCAATTTAGAGAACAGTGCGAAGGTCTTTATTTATGCTTCACGTGTTTCTCGCTCTTGCGCTTAACAGCTAAAAAAGGCTCAAAGACCATCAGGCGGCCCAACGTGCTTGCCAGCTTTGACTCAGGGGACCCACGGTGGCGGCAGGATGGGGAGGACGGGCGGACAGCCCAGGTACTCACGCTGGGGTCCGCATCACCCCCCGGGGTGTCTGCAGGCATGGCCGCAGCAGGCGGGGCTGCATCGGGGGCGGGCTCCGCAGGGGGCACCAGGCAGGAGGTGAAGCTGGGGTAGGGCCGGTGAGCTGGGTGGAGGCTCACCTTCTGCACCTGTGGGAAGAGGCTGGCGCTTGAGATGGGGGAATGGGACAGGTGTTTGAAGCCGGTGAACAGACAGCTGGACAGGACAGTGCAGTGGCCAGCCAGGCCGTGGCCCTACCTGCTGGTTGCTCCCAGCCCACCAGGCATGGGGGTCAGAGGCGGGCACGCAGCCTGCGGTGTCTGGGAACAGGTCCTCATGGAACTCCACAGCCTAGTAGTAGACAGGTACGTGGCCGGGGAGGTCCAGGCTGCCCAGGCCCTCCTGGCCCCTCACCCAGGGTAGCCCTCACCTTGCGAGGCACGTGGTAGCTGACAGGCACGATAGCCGTGTCGCTCAACTGCAAGACGCGGAGCACCTCGCAGCCCATGACGGCCAGCGCCCGCCGGGGCACGAGAGCCGCCCCCCCGCAGCACGTTCTCCAGGAGGCACTGGGTCACTGTGGGGGACACCACGGGAAGACAGTCAGGGAGGGTGGGAGAGAGGAGGGGGAGGACGGAGGAGAACAGGGCTTACCTGAGCTCAGTGCTGGCTGCTGGGGGGCTACCTCATAGCAGTACAACTGACTCTCGCCCTGAAACAAGCCCAGACTGAGTGCGGCCACTCGCGGTCAGGCCGCCTGCGCCAGGCCTCCTCCGCGGGCACCAGCTTCATACGCCGACCCAGCTCCCGCCCCCCAGCCCCCCCCCCCCCCCCCCCGCCCGCTCCCAAGCCCACAGCAGCACCCCGCCTTCAGTTGGCTTCACCGTGCACACTAAGAACAGGGCACAGTCCGGATTTAGAGTGCCTTGCCACGGGCTAACCCTGCTTGAGTGTTGGTCTTGTCCACAAAGCTGACATTTTCGGGTGTTACAGTCATCCCGATCTGAATGCCACTCAGCCTGACAGGGGTGCAGCCTGGGTCACACAGCTTAGGCTTCTTTCTGTCCCCAGTCTCCCAGGTGGCGGGCTAGGTCAAAGGTTGGGAAGGACCTGGCACGTGAGGGCACTACCCTTGGTGGGGGGCGCTGACAAGGACGGGCACTCCAGCGTCTTGCTCACCTTTCCTGCCAGGATCAGGAGCCCGGAGTCTGGGTCCAGCAGGGGCAGCAGAGACCTGAGGGAGAGAGGGCTAGTGGGCAGGATGTGGCCAGCCTCTGTCCCTGAGGGGCAGCTGGAGAACGGTCAGCCTCGTGACTCCAGATGGGGGCTCAGGCCGAGCACCATGCTGGCGGGGAGGGATGTGGCCCCTCTAGCTGTGTCCAGCCTGTCCCCTGGGACCCTCCACTTTCTCCCTGTGCTACCAACACACCGACGCTGAGCACATCCCCATGTCCCAGCGTTTCTTGCCCTGGGTTCCCCATCTGCCCACCTGCTTCACTCCAGGACTCATATGGACCCTGGGCATAGGGAAGCTGGGCCCCCCTTCTACACCTCAGTCCTGAGCTCCATCCCAGGCTCACCAGCTCCAAAAAGAGCCCACATGCACTCTGTCCCTGGGCTCCCATTGTGGCCAGCCCATGAATCAGGCCGGAGTTACCAAGGAAGACGAGTGGGCCTGCTGGAACCAGGGACTCCCTCCATCCCTGCCCAGTACAGTCGGCCTGGGTGCACCAGGTCTGCACTAAGGTTTGGGGACGCCCTCCTTAGTTACCCCAGGCTTCTGAGGACATCTTAGAGACTCAGAAGCCTCCTCAGCATGACTTTAAAACTAAGCCAGGGGCTGAGACAAGGGCCTCCTTCGCCCTTCCCTCCCCATTCTCCGTCCCGACTCTGGATGGGGGGCAGTGGCTGGGAACATAGAAGGCAGGCTGGAAGCCCCCAGCACCCCTGCCACTCTATACCAGTCACCTCTGGACTGATGGCCTGTCACTGTCCAGGAGAATTCTGACAGGTGCCTTCATTTGTTAGTTTCTTCTCCCGGTCTCAATTTCACGTCCCTAGGAACCCAAGGGCCTGGACTCTCATCCCAGTGCTGACACTGCCCCTCAAACAGAGACCTTTCCTCATTGTCGTCCCAGTGGTCAGAGGTCGCCCAGCTGCGGCAGCTGCATCTATCCCTCACCCAGACAACAGAAGGCCCAGCCCCCACTTCCCTGCCCGTCCATTACCTCCTGGCCAGCTGCCCAAAGCCTGCCTGCGGCCCACCTCCCCTCCCTACCCTACTGGGAGCCACAGAGTGGGCTGGGGAGCTGGGTGGGGCCCTGGGTGTCTCCACGGCTTCCGGGAGTCCTCTGGGCCCGTCACCTGTGAGTAACAAGGCTCTAATTACCTTGGGTCGGCAGTGTAAGCTGGGCTCAGAACTGCCCTTCTTGACCTGGTCTGACTAGTGCCTTCTGTGGGGGAGCAGATGGGCAGGGGAACAAGGTTGGCGAGTGACCCGAGGTGCACCCCACAAGGATGCTGGCTCCACTGGGGCTGCAAGCAGGTCCCTTCAGCGGGACCTTCATTCACTCACTCCTTCACTGCCAACCATTCATTCCTTTGCCGAGCAGATCTGTGCCCAGCCCTTGGCTCGACCCGTAGCTGGGACTAGAACTGAGTGCAACGGACCCCACCTCTGTCCTCAGGCTGCTCACGGCTGGGCCTGAGAGCCAGACACAGTCACCCAAACATGTGAAGGAAAAGCTCCCTGGGGACGCATGGCGGGGGGGGGGGGCAGGGAGCCTGACTATGGCGGGCTGAGGAGGAATCAGCCAAGTGTGGAGAGTAGTCTCTAGGCAGGAAGAGCAGTCTGTGCAAAGGTGCGGCGGTCAGGTACATGGTCTGTTGGGGAACAGAGGGAAGGAGGATGTGGCGGGTGGCCTGGGCATTGAGGGGGAGAGGCTGAGCTTCCAGTGGGGGTGGGCAGAAGCCAGACAGAATGGGGCCTACATAAGAAGGGGAATTCTGCCTCCCTCCATCAGACAAGCAATAAGAAGCTGATGTGATGTCTTTAGTGAAGGGGGACAGGATCAGACGTGTGCCGAGCGGAGATCGCCGTGTGGAGATGGACAGGAGGGTGTGGTGAGGAGAGGTGAAGGGCTCAGGGTAGCGTCTGAGAGCGAGTGGAGGGACTCCTGAGGCCCCACGGTCACCTTGACAAGAACTGGGGAACGGGCCTGTGGGTGGCACTGACAGCTCATCCCGGCTCTAATCCAACTTCCTCAAGACGCGCCACCTGGCCTCCTTGCACTCCCTCCCCATCAGCCCCAACTGGCCAGCCCACTGACTCAGGCGCTGGGGGGCGCGGGGGCAGGAAGTCATGGAGGGCAGGGCTGGCTCCTCCAACAGGTCAAGCCAGTCTTCCTCCCTTCCGGGCAGAGCCATCCACGGCACAGGCCAGGAAATGGGGTCATGGCACCCAGCCCCCAGGGCTGACCAATAGCTGGCACGGGTCTGACCCCAGGCTTGTAAAGAGAGCCAAGCCAGGTCTGGGTCTGGAATACAGAACATGGTTCCTGGCAGAGGACCAGAGGTGGTAAGAGCTGGCACGGGCACCTCTCCCACTGCTATGCTATGGGGCAGGGATGGCATCTGGGCCTGCCACTGGAAGGACTCTGACTCAGGTCCAGGGGTCTGCTCCAGAACCAAAGTCACAGAAGGTCTGGAGCCCAGACTGGGCCCCTACGTCACAGAAGATGCAGGACAACAGAGGTACCAGGTCACAGGAGGGAGGAGTTAGCACCTGATAATCCCACCAGCTTTCCCAATATTCCTGCATTTAGCACAGGAGGTACTGCAGGTCAGGAAAAGCAGCTTTAAGAGTTCTCTGGTTCGGGGAGCCTGGGTGGCTCAGTGGGTTAAGCCTCTGGCTTTGGCTCAGGTCATGATCCCAGCATCCTGGGATCGAGCCCCACATCGGGCTCTCTGCTCAGCGGGGAGCCTGCTTCCTCCTCTCTCTCTGCCTGCCTCTCTGCCTACTCATGATCTCTGTCAAATAAATAAATAAAATCTTAAAAAAAAAAAAAAGAGTTCTCTGGTTCTTCTTGCCAGCCCATCTCTCCCCTTCAGACCCACCAACCTAGACATCCTGCCATAGCCCCTCATCCAAAGCAATCCAGGTCCCTTGGATCTGTCCTGGCTACCCAGACTGGGCAGTTGGGAACCCCCTGCCAGACCAAGCCTTGCCCCACACTCTTAGCTGCCTTAGAATCAGGTTCTAAGGGTGCGTAATACCTTGATCCCCTATGAGAAGAGAATGGAAAAACTGGGGGAGGGGTCCCCTGGAAGCTACCCTTACACCTCTGGGGGGAGTGGGAGTATAGCATGTGTGAGTCCAGGTTCAGGATTGGGGTGCAGGAGAGACTCTTTAGGTGGGTGGGATCTCCCTATTAGCAAGAACTGGGCACAGAAGCAAGAAGTTTTGGGGCCTGTCAAGAAGTCCTGTTCCTTGCGGCGCCTGGGTGGCTCAGTGGGTTAAAGCCTCTGCCTTCGGCTCAGGTCATGATCCCAGGGTCCTGGGATCGAATCCCGCATCGGGCTCTCTGCTCAGCAGGGAGCCTGCTTCCTCCTCTTTCTCTCTCTCTGCCTGCCTCTCTGTCTACTTGTGATCTCTGTCCGTCAAATAAATATATAAAATCTTAAAAAAATAAATAAATAAAAGAAGTCCTGTTCCTTGGGGAAAGTCAGGCGAGAGGCCCTCAGAACACCCCCTTCAGTGTTGGGGGAAGGTGTGGACCCTCCTGAGAGCTTTAGGGGACACAAGCCCATCTGACCAAAGCCATACAGTACTGACCGCAAACCCAAATGTCTCAGAAATGTGAGTGAGTGAAGCAGCCTGGTGGGAGACACTTGGGAATGGTGGGGACTGGGGCAGCCAGTAAGCCTGGGTCTCCATCAGAGGGGGCAGCGACTACTCAGCTCTTGCCCGGAGTTCCTTGCCCGGAGACAAGCTGGGAAGTCCCATTTTAATGTGAAACCACCAGATTTTTCAATGTTGGCAATAGCTTCAAAGTTTTAAAAAGTCCCAGACAGGCCAAATGAAACGCAGCCGAGAACCAGCACTGGCCCAGGAGCAGAGGTTCACACGCCATGACCCACATGTACATCTACACCAAGAAAAGTGTGTAGTGCAGGCTGGGTTGGAGGGGATGGTGGGTATCCCAAGGCTCTCTGAAGTTGGGAGCTGAGCTGGTCCCCCAAAGCTCACAAATGTGGATCAGGAGAGCAGAGCATTTTCCTGGAATATTGCAAGGCAGGGGATTTTTCTGGACTAGTCTAGCCCTTGACACTGCCCTCCCCTCACCAACGGCCAACAGCAGCAGCACTCAGGCCCCACCCACGGACGGCCGGTGAGGCCCAACCTCCCACCCCATCCCACTCCTCCAGTACTGTGGGGCCTTGGGCAGAATCACTTCCCTTTCCCGTGTCTCAGTCCCCTCATCTAAAATGTGGAGAAGATCACCCAGGGACACTCACCTACCCCCAAAGCCTTCATGGCTAAAAGGACCCCAGAACTCAGATTCGGCATTAGATATTGTACTTAGCAGGCTCTCAGGGTACTGTGTGTGGCCTGCCCAAGAGTTTTTAAAATTGGGATTAGCTACCAACAATAACACATTGAGAGATTTCACCTAAAAAACCCAGATTTCCAGTTTCTCTTGAAAAACCTGAAACTCTGGAAGACTGGGGCAGGTCATAGGGGTTGAGCCTTTCCACCAACCCCACTTTCCCTACCCACCCATCGCCACCTCTCCAGGTCTCCACAAGCTATGGTGTCTGCTCTTTGGGTTTAAACACTGTCCTTATGTCGCCCGCCTGTGTGTCGTAGGTATCCGGGTTTGAAACTCTTGGTCTCAATATTCTCTTGCTTTTGCTTTTACGAAAAACAGGGACCCGCCCAGAATCATATGGCCAACTAGTGGCACAGCAGACGGGAGCGCGGGACTCCGTCCTCCTTGGTCGGGAGGTGGAGGAATGAGTATCAGGCGGCGGGCGAAATGACCCCTTTAGCGGAGAGAGGAGGCGGGTCTCTATCGGCCCCGCCCCGCCCCGCCCCGCGGGGGAGCGACCCCGCCCCCAGCCCTTAAACCGCGACCCGCCTCCCGCGAGCTGACTCCGCAGCCCAAGCCCGGGGCGGGGAGACACGAACGCGGCTGCCTCGGGACCCCGGATCCCAGGACCCCACCGGGCCGGTCGGCCCAACCCGTCCGGCTCCTGCTGCCGCCGCCGCCCGGTGAGTGTCTACCGGAACGGGGCGCTGC